GAAATGGACAGATGTCGAACAACAGGCCTTTACCACTTTGAAAGAAGTTCTGTGTTCTACTGATGTTTTGGCTCACTATTTACCAAAACGAGAACACGTTCTACAAACCGATGCGTCAAGGTCTGGGTGCAGTTTTACTACAACGAGAGGAAAATGGCAGTTTTAATCCTATTGCATACGCTTCACGCACTCTCACATCTGCGGAACAAAACTATTCAAATATTGAACGGGAATCGTTAGCATTGGTGTTCGGGGTGACAAAGTTCCGCCAATACTTAATGGGCAAGAAGTTCGTTTTGGAAACCGACCACCAACCTCTGGTTAAGCTTTTTGGCGTTCAGGAGGGTGTACCTTGCTTAGTCTCTTCCAGACTTAAAAAATGGAAACTAATATTATGCTATCTGCATATGATTACACGATTCGACACATTGCTGGGAAGCAGAATGTCATGGCTGACTTCATGTCGGGGAACCAGTTTCAGAATCTTTGGTGTCTGAAGCTGAAATGGAAGAAACACAAGTCTTGTTCATAGAAGATGAGCGTATTGATGGACAAACCATTGTGGGTGAAATCAAAAGCGATCCAGTGTTGAGCCAAGTTCTGCACTACATGCTAAATGGGTGGCCTGAGAAAGTAAACAATGTGGATTTACAACCGTTCTTTGCGAAACGTTGGGAACTCTCTGTGGCCGACAATGTCCTTCTGTGGAACGATCGGGTTGTCATTCCAATGTCACTGTGTGTTATCCTTTTGAATGAATTGCACTCGGAGCACACAGGTGCTGTGCGAATGAAACGCATAGCTCATCGCTATTTCTGGTGGCCGAAAACCGACGAGGCTATTGAAGAAACTACTAAGCAATGCATGGTGTGTCAGGAACGGGCACGCAAACCAACCAAATCGTACGCTACCTGGTCATGGCCTTCGGGTCCTTGGCGACGTCTCCATCTGGACTTCGCTGGCCCATTTCTGGGAAAGATGTTCCTGAGAGTAGTCGACGCCTACTCTAAATATCTCGAGGTCATTCCTATGTCAACGGCTACTTCTGCTGGCACAATCAAGCAAACCAAAAATCAAATCAATGCGACTACTGACAATAAAACTGGGTCATGTTATAGAGAGGTGAATCTTCACTTTGCGACTAAACTATTCACAGCAGAGCCAAATTTTGTGGGTCACTGAATGTGTGTGCTGGCGACCTATAAGCAAACCAAAAATCAAATCAATGCGACCACTGACATTACAGCTGGGTCATGTTATAGAGAGGTACATTCAAATTGAAAGGTGAGCACAAATGGTCAAAATCTGATATTGTCTCACCTAAGAACTCGCCCAGGGCTGCTGAAAGCTGAACAATAACCTATCTCCAAGTTTGGGGCTTTTACCCGTGAATCTTCACTTCGCGACTAAACTATTCACAGCAGTGCCAAATTTCAGGGGAAAAGTCTGCAGAAAAAGGCTATCACCACCAGGACTCGAACCCAGGTCCTTGGCTTGCGGCGAGCGATGCTCTAACCACTGAGATATTGTCGTGTTTCAGTGTACCGGTACGTGAAAGCGTTGCTCGTACGATCGACTGACTGCCACGTGTGGCATGCATGCAGCTTTGCAAGCACTCTGCATGTCATTCTCGTCTTACCATTCTGGTGGGTACATCTGACATAGATCGGTTTTACAAGAGCAGCACTGTGACGTGCAGACAATTCTATAAACCCACATATTCTACCGCAAGTTCCGTCATGTTCTACCACAAATCCAGCTCCTAAAACGCATAATTTTCCGCAAATTCAGCCCATTACATGAATGCACCGCCGGATTTGCACAACTTTCAAAGAATTTTCCGCGATTTTCTGTGGGGACAGCAATATACAGTGCTGCTGAAAGAAATCCAGTCACCTCACTCAAGTACGTGCTGGGCGTTGCACAGCCATAGACCTGAGAACCCTGGGCTGCGAAATGTTACAAGGTGCACACTTGATTGACGTGACCGGATTTCGTTGACCAGCATTGTGTATCTGCAATGCTAGCAAGGACGCAGCGTTTCACTCCACATGGTATCCATGTACATGTATGTGTGCATTCGTTTGGGGATTCGTTTGGGGGGGGGGGAGCACCCCGTTTCGGGAAAGTGCCCCACCTTATTTTTACAGCCAGGGGAAGGAAAATCGTATGGCGGAGTGCAAGGAAGTATTAGTTTGCACACTGTGAGAACCTGAGTGTACTACTAAGGTCACACTTAGCAGGTGTTGGTGTGGAGCAGCGTGGTGATCATGTCCGCTCGAGGGTAAGTAACAGTTGATTACGGATTGACTGCACAACGTGGCAATGTGTGTACAGGGTTTGTGTCGTTTGTGACTCTTAGTCTGAGGACACCACCTCGACAATACGACCACAAAAAAAAGGACGAGATGGTGGGGCGCTCTTACGAAACCGTGCTGGCAGAATGCTTGACTATTCGTCAAGAGCTAGCCTGACCTTGAATGTTTCTGAGTGACAAGAATTTATCAGCATACCTGTTGCTGTGCTTGAACCGCTATTTTCTCAAGCTCACCTTTATCGTGGTCCGAATCGATAAATCAGTAGACGGCGGCACTACATTTCTCCCGATCAACAGACGTGGCATTTGAAGGTAGATGTGGTGAAGTTACTTCTGCTTCCCTTCACAAATACGTTTTGTGCGAACTGCGCGCTGGCCGCTGTAACTAACTCGCCTTTTCCAACAATGTTCTAGTCGCTCAGAGTCAGAGCCACAGCCACAGGCAAATAAAGCAATTCCACCTCAACCACATGCCATCTCTGGCCAACCTCATCACACCAGCAACATGACTCCCAGTTGTAGAATACATGTACATGTACTTGATGTAGACCTAGTGACAAATAAATTTTCCTCCATAGCGCTGTTTCGACCACTAAGGTCAAAATTAATACCGGTTGTGTAGTGCTGACAACTGAAATCCGACCCCCCCCCCGGGCGGCGCGGCGCGCGGCCAAGCGGGTCGGATTTCAGTTGCCAGCACTGTACTCAAATTTATGTAGATTCTTCCCGCCGTCGCTGAGGATGGTGTAGAGCAGGGAGTCGTAAAAGGGCTTTTACGACTCCCTGGTGTAGAGCATGCAGTGGCGTAGGAAGCGGGGGGCAAGGGGGGGGGGGGCGCCAGCCCCCCGAATCTTTTGGCGGATGTGGGGCTGAAGCCTGAAGGCCCGAAACATGGAAACTCGATGAACGCGCAAGTGAGGATCATGCATGCAGCGCAGATCAACCAGTAAGGCAGTAAAGAGTCATGCACTCACATCGATCGTAGTCATGTCACGTCAGAGCTGACCCTGCACTGTCATTCATTGTAGAATCTACATCACTACAACTACCACTGTACAGTACAGACAGTCACAGACTCATATTCATTTGTCTCGACTGTTTTGTTCGAGATCTAAGACTAAAGCCTGGTTCACACTAGGCCGATTTTCCGGCCGGCGCTCCCACACCGAGTCCGACAAGAAATCGACCGACTGTGTCGGATGAGTCGGACTAGCTGTTCACACACAATGGTCGGTAACTAAGTTGTAGGCTTGTCTGTCACGCACGTACACGCGATACACAGCCGCGCTAGACCGTAGTAGATGCTAGACAGCAGAAATGAGATAGTTTTTACACGAGCTACAGGGCCAAACTACAAAGGCGTGAAAGGGCTTGCGTCTACCATTGTCTACAGCGATCCAGCGCAGTCAGTTCACGCGAATCACGGTCTGCACCGGTGCTGTCTGCTGTCATGGTGAAAAGCCTACAGTACCCAGGTCCCTTGCCGCTAGCTAGCTATCGCGGCGCGGGCTGGATTCCGCGGTACTGCCCTCGTAGATCTACTTGCGCAGGAATCCTGTAGCTGTGCTACGTGCTAGCACGCGTGCTGTGTACACATGCATGGTACACGTATACGTATACTGCATCATAAAAAATGCATGCAGGCCAGGGAGACGTAAAATACCGGTATTTTACGCACGGGTGTTTCGCAGCGGCCACTCGTCAAGATGGCGGCAAATCCGAGAGTACAAAAATTTCGACTCTGGCTATGTGCGCGGCGGATGCGAATCTCGCACGTGCATGCAAAATCTAGCCTTCTGCAGATCTGGGTAGAGCAAGTGTACGTGTGTGGGAACGACGACATTTTCCGAGAGAGAATGTGGCTCTTTTCATCCCAACATTTTACTCGCCACGCTCTCCCTCCCAGCTTATTGATACGAGTATCTGCTACCGAGTAGAAGTCTCCATCTTCACAGTAGGCCAGGCAAAATCGCAACGTTGAAATACTTTGCTCACTTGGTGTTTTTGGTCCTTTGAGATGATGTGGCTGTTGTGTACAACTCGAAGTGACAAACTTGAGACCCCCGCGCCACAAAAAACTAAGGCGCGCCACAAAGTTTCGTCTGGCTATTCAATGAAAGGATGTATGGAAGCAGGGATAAAAACTATCGTGGCTGCCGGCAAAACTCCTAGTAATGTAATAAACGGGGGTGTGACTTTGGTAATTCCAAGGAGAATGTACGCACGGCCATTCCACAACGAAGACGAAACTACGAGCTCAAAAACACTCCGATTTTCAAACAAACGACGCAGGAAAGAAGACATGGCCGCAGTGTTCCCGTGTGGCCTTCAAAACACCTAATTTTACTTCCATAGCGGCTGGTTCAGGGCTAATTCAGGCCCAATTCGACAGCGTCGTACCGCTCAGATTCGCCCAAAACACGAGAAAATGTACGGTAGATACAAATTCGTACGCATTTTGCGTACGGGGACGACTGGCCAGAGTTCATGCACTGCAAACACCCGTGTACGACTCCCTGAATGGCCTGATGCAGGCGGCCGCGCGGATGATGTACCGATAGTACATGCGCATGCATGCATGCAGTGCACGTGCACCACACAAAAAGAATGTTTTCTTTTTTCATTTTGATTTGAGAACATTTTGCTCAATGAAAATAGCTGTCACAATGTACAAGCACACAAAAATTATCATAATTATTTCCTTCTCCAGTCAATCTTGATCTATTGATGAGAGCAGGGAGTAGTATTGTACTGCTCCCTGATTGATAGTACCTCGCGCGAGCACTGCTTCAGACATCAGCGTTGCTGAACATTGCGGGAAGAATGGATGTTCAGACAAGCTTGAGCTTGTACCGATTCTCAAGGTTTGGTCTTGACCTAACACCTGCAGCTCAACCTTCAGTTTCGTACGGCTTAAAAACGTCTGGAAATGGTTCGGATTTTATCGTTGTGGAGGAGAATTTGAGAGGAGAGAGAGCAAGTGTAGAGTGTCAGAAAGTGCCAAAGCGTTCCACTTTAACACGGTCAGGACATGATTGCAGGAGTATCAGTGAAGGCAGGAACGATGTTTGTAGGCCAGATAGCATCGATGGTGCCCCATCGCATGCAAAGAGGCGTAAAGTTGAATCCAATAGCTGCTCCGGAGATACAGAGTATAATGGTTGGAATTCTGGAAATTCCCGCGTTTGCTGGACGGTGCTTAGAAAGTTAGTAGCGGAGGAATGTCTGAGGGACCTTGTACGCTTAGCTACACTGGCTGTTCGCTCTATGCATAACCGAACAAATTCACAAGATGCTGATGGCCAGAATGTGGACTATGAACCTGGCTTGAAGACTCGGGTAGTCCTTCGTAAATGCCGTGATGGCGGCAGCGGTAGTACTGGCAATGATATGCTGGATGGCAAGCTCTATCGCACAATGGTCCACCGCTGTGTGCGTACTGTATTTCCACAGCTAGCGACATGTACGGACCAGTCAACGGACCCTGACGCAATCATGGTAACGATTGATCCGTGCTTCAATGCATTGTGCTGTGCGTGCAAGAGTACCACAGATGCACTGTGCATTCTTTGGTTCCATCATAGCAACTGTTACCGACCAACTCTGGCGAAGAATGAGCAAACCCTGGACGTGTGTGTTGGTATAGAGCGAGAACAGCGTGCTGCAATTCATCACACTATACGCCAGCATTTCGGTAAATCACTAGAATCCAAAACACGGCAGAACTGTGCTGCAGCAGCAGCGGCGGCATCACCAGCATCACCTACTGTATGCCATCCTGCAGCTAGTGCTTTGCTACTGCCTTGCGAGTATGACCAGTTGCCAATGACAACCTCACCGTGTGAAGATCCTACGCACCCGGACAAGTGCGACCCTTGTTTCACTACGACACATGAGCAAAGCCGTAAGCAACAGCAGCAGGAATCACGGGAACACGAGCCACGGCCTCAACAGGAACGGCAGCCAGTTGACCTTGCTACAGATAGCAGGGAACTGCAGCAATCGTGTATTCAAGTGCGATATCGTTCCCGACCATCATCAGCCAAGTACAGCAAACAATCAGATGTGACCTATTTACATTTTGCGCTGGAGAAGCGCAATATGGAGACTCTTGCCGCTCTCCGCCTCTTGACAGTTTCTCTTGGCGTTCGGCTCTGCGATTTTGCGTATGCTGGTACAAAGGATTGTCAGGCGCGTACTTGCCAGTTTGTATCTCTGAAGAATGGCCGTGCTGAAGAGTTGCGTGCCCTTGCTGACTATCTGTCAACAAAGAACATCAGAACAGGTAGCTACTCATATCATCCAGCACCTCTGGCATTGGGTGACTTGTGTGGAAACCATTTTGAGATCATTGCGCACAACCTGACGTCCTCGTGTCACTCAACGTCCTCTTCTCCGCCACAGGATCTGATGAGCAGTCTAGCATCGCGAGCAGCATCTTCACAGCAACCAAGTTATCATCTACCTGTGAAGACGTGTGCAGAAACAACAGCGTTAGCACCGGCATCGACTACAGCACTACCAGGAACGGGAATAGCAACGGCAGCAGCAACAAGAGAAACAACATCCGCAACCGCAGGACCTACACCGGGAGAAGCCATGCCGAAGGTTGTATCAACATCGGTATCGACGCTGCCGCCCTGTGATAGTGGTAGTAGCAGAACGACCAGCAGCAGCGCCGGCGATGGCAGCAACAACAGCAGCGATGGCAGCGACGGCGATGGCACCAACAACAGCAGCGGTGGTGGTGGCAGCAACAGCAGCGATGGCACCAACAACAGCAGCGGTGGTGGTGGCACCAACAACAGCAGCGGTGGTGGTGGCACCAACAACAGCAGCGGTGGTGGTGGTGGTGGCAGCAACAGCAGCAGCGGCGGTGGCAACAACAGCGGCAGCGGCGGTGGTGGCAGCAACAGCGGCGGTGGTGGCAGCAACAGCGGCGGTGGTGGCAGCAACAGCGGCGGTGATGGCAGCAACAGCGGCGGTGGTGGCAGCAACAGCGGCGGTGGTGGCAGCAACAGCAGCAGCGGCGGTGGTGGCAGCAACAGCAGCGGCGGAGGCAGTACAATCCAGGGCAATAGCGACGGCAAAAGCAGCAGCAGTGTTGGTGTCAACGTATCCGACTTGCAGCGGCGTGTGGACAGTGTACATCACCATGGAGGTTTCATCAATTACTTTGGTCCACAACGATTCGGTGCTGCTTACCATGGTGCGGCATCACATCAGATAGGCCTCGCTCTGTTGCGCAATGATATGGAGGCTGCTATTCAACTGTTCCTTGCTCCAGCTGATCAGTGCAGGACAGTCGCAGATGAAGAGAGCTGTGGAACAGTAATGCCGCCATCATCCTTAAGTACAGATGGTCATGCTAATGGCCACAGTGAGGATAAAGATATCGCAAGAAGTAGTGACCATACCGAAGGTGAGAGTGTTACGACAGTTGCCTCTGATACATCATATGGCAACACAGATGACTCTGGAGCAAATGCTGCAAAGCTCTATTACAGTCAGACTGGTGATGCCAGAGGCACTCTAAAAATGATGCCCAGTCACTACACACGCGAACGTCTCGTACTGTCGTCCCTAGTGCGCTATGCTGACAGGCCAGAGCGCTATCGGAATGCCATCATGACTTTGCCGCACGATGTCCGGTCGTTCTATGTGCATGCGTACTCTAGCCGCCTGTGGAATGCATGCGCATCGTATCGCTGGCAGCGCTACGGGCACCGAGTTGCTGCCGGTGATATGGTAGAGGTGCATGCGATTGCAGATCATAATACCACTGATCACGGTGATGTGAAAGGAACGCTGCAGCACCAGCACCCGCAGCAGCAGCAGCAGCACACCAACAATGCATCTGTGCAGAGCAGTGGCTGTACTACTAGTATACATCCCACTGCCACTGCTACTAGCACTGACGGCAGCTGCTCATCTCTACCCGCTACTCAGCCAGCAGTAACAGCTCATACCTCTACTGTGGGCCAATCTCTGCAAAGCACTCAAGCAAGGTGTGAGCATTCCAATCGTCGTGACGAGAGGAAGAAAGCTCAGCGCTGTTACCGCATCATCAGTACGAGTGAATCCACGGATAGCTACAGTCACATACCATTAACAGATGTGGTCATACCGATATTGGGCAGTAAAGGTATAGAGCGCTCGTCCAATCTTTACGACCTTGTTTTGGCTTACCTGGAGCAAGATGGTCTCAGCCCAGACATGTTCAACATTGCCTCGCTTAGCCTTCGTGTAACGGGCTCGAAACGGCCATTCGTCGCTTCCCCTCGTGACTTGCAGTGGCGTCCGGTAATGCAGTGTTCGTGTTCAAGTGGACCAGCAGCTTTACGCCACCACTCTGGCTCGCTGGCCAAGAGCACGAACAACAGCGCAAGCACCAACAAAGGCAGTAGTGCTACCGGCAATGACCCCAGCGTCCCGATAGGTAGCAGCAGTGGTAACAATAGTGGTATCGATGATGGTGGCGACGACGGTGGTGTTGTGACAAGCCAGCCTACCCGCTATGACAGCTGCCAGCACTCCCACTCCTCTGCTCACACCAAGCCTGACTTAGAGCAGAGTCTAGTTACTTGCCCAGCGGAGCAAAGTCACGGCCATGTGAATATGGACTGCACAGACTTGAACCATGCTACCCATGAACTACCGAGTGGTGTGTTGTGTACTTGCGTGAAGTTTGCATTCTTCCTGCAGCCATCTACCTATGCTACTACTCTATTCCATCATATCTTTAGCAATGCGCAGCATAGGTAAGAGAATGATGCCGTATAGCAGTGGCTCAGTGCAGTCAAGCGCTGTAGTCACAGCAATGGCTCGGTTATGCTCTACCCATGTGCGTTCTATACACAGAAAAACAGACGGCTTTAGCCAAGCGCAGCATTAGCCTAGTACAGCGTACGTGGTGATGTTGACGTACAGGATGCCAGTGTGGCCCTGTTCATTGCTCAAGTGAACACTTCATTTCATCTTGCAACCCTACAAGCTTGACCCAAAGCGTCTTTCTTGTTTTCTTCTCAGGTTTAAATATATATATATCAACAGATGGGTATCACGCTCCTCGGCTTTCACCTTGTTGAGCACTCTCAGTAGGCTGCTCTAGTGCTGCTGCATCGCGCAATGCCCGCTACATTTTGTAGTTTGAGCACTCTGGCGCTAGAGCGACGAGCTACCTTAATGTCTGTGGTGCCTCCTTTGCACCATGGCTGATAGCTCGGCCTATTTAGCTCGTAGCTGTACTGATGAGGCCTTTATGGCCGAAACAGCTTGCTGTCTACAGCATTGGGTATCAACAGATGAAATATTTCTGCGATTTTATAACCAAGACTTCCTCGTAGATTTTATTTATAATAATACTTCTCGGCTAGGGGTATCCCCTCTTCTTCTTCTTTTACTAGAAGTAGGAGATTCGTTGTTGTTTTTTTTCTATTACAAATTTGTACTTGTACATTGAGTACTTCAACGTGATTTCAGTACTTTGCACACATCAAACAGATACCGGTAGTTACTTAGAAGAGCTTTAGATTGATTGCATTTTGACAATGCACAAAAGGCATAGTTCCTTGCTGGAGTGAGACAACTATGTCTTACATGCATTGTGTTGCTGGGGCACATAGGGTCGGCCTACTGTCTCGGGATGTGTTGCCTATTCAATGCTTTCCATGTATTTGCTTTGTCCTGAGAAGTATTCTGGTGAGCACCGTTGTGCAATGTTCAAGGAACATTGCACAAAGGAAGGAGTTTACACACCAGACACTGCAAAGAGTTCATAATTAATGTCCTTACTTTCTCTCCCCTACTCCCCCCGGGTTTAGCATTACGAGAAGCCTAGCGTACTGGTTGGCCGAGTTCACTGCAACTCACCCCCACAGCTGCCATTTCATTCTGCAGCCCCCCCCCCCCCCCACACACACATCTGTCCCTGTTTGTTCTTCCTTCTCCTCTCTGCACTGCTTTGCCGAGGTGGGTTTGTGTATTTTGTGAAAGATTTTTTTTAAATGATGTTGATTCAAGATAGTGCTGTATTGTGTGCAGGGAGATTGGAGCGCTTGGAATGTTTCCGCGCTATGGCGAGTGTGCGTGGCGTACACGTTGTCGCCTCCACGCTTGTGTCTTCACAAAACAGATCAGTGTTCCTTCTTCTAGAGCAGGCCACGACTGATTTTCGTTCCTTCGTATGCTAGCGGACCCCGGCAGCGCTTGCGTTCCGGTGCACGAGCTAGCTCCTCGGTCGATTAGGTCCTTTTGTTCGCGGTGTTTGTCTGAGCTGAGTCTGCTGGCACACTGCCTGCTGCTTGCCGCATTCTACAATCTTCTAAGTTCGACGTACATGTTGTTTGTCTGCAGGCTGCAACTAGTGCTAGCAGACGAGCAAACGTTGAACCAGGTGACTGTTGTTGTCTCGTTGCTAGCCACAGACGTTGCTGCGACAAGTCCCAAACTCCCGACTAGCCCGTTGCCGATCGGCCCATTCCAAAGTTCACACTAGACCGCGATGTTTTCCTCATGCATTACTGTACATGCAGCGATTGTACTGCTAGGGCGCTCGCACTGCTGCACAGCGCACGTGCACAGGCCGCTGGACGCTTCCGAGAACCGTCGGCTCGTGAGGTCAAAGTTCACGTTCGAAGAATGCTAGCAGCTTCATCCGCTCGCAAGTCAGCCGGGGTAGAATGAGCTTGCAGTTCGCGAACACGTCCCATTCGTCATTATTGTTTGGAAGGAAGCACACGATGTCCTTCTTCTCCGTTTTTTCCTCCTTGGAGGCTAAGCATTCGAAAGCCAACCAGCATTTGATAGGTGTGTATAGAGTAAAGGAAAAAGACGGGATGCAGCTGTTTTGAAGAATTCCAAATATCGTGTACAGGTTTCTCGACTGGAGCACCAAGGCAAGCAGGAAGGTAAATCTTGGCATTTATCTCCTTCACCACGTCTTCTGTGTTCCTCGTTGACCTTCTTTTACCCGCTACTGGGATATTCCTGCCAGCACATGCCGCGGTTCCATTGAGAAGCTTTGCTTCCTCTTTGCCCTTTGAATCAATTGGAATACTGTTCCTCTAGCGAATTCGCGCCCTTAGAATGTTTGTCTCCTCCTTTTTTCCGTGCAGCGAAGGAGTGTATCAAGGCGCAAATTGCGCATGCGCAGTGTGAACTGGATTCTTCTTTTACGTTATCCTGTACCACGAGGTGAGCAGTTCCTTTGTTGACCATGTCTCATATATCATGTATCGAGGTTTCTGGTGTCCTGTAGTTGACCACCGTATTCAGGTATTGAACTGTGGCTGGGGTGCTACTCAACTTTGTTCTCCGTGCTCGCAAGCTACCAATTTTCTACATCATAGTACATGTCCAAGACTACCTACCTACTGACGCGTGTTTTCTCTGTTTTGTAGAGAACGGTGTGGGTTGGACCGCTAGCTATTACAACCATGCTTTGAGGCCACGCTGGTGTGCTATCAGCTTGTCATTTACAAACACTTGCCCCGTCCGGATGTTTGGCTGCCAGCGCCTTTAGTTATTTGGAGGTCAAGATATCCATCGCCGAAAGAAGTGTGTTCTCCTTTCGTTCAGGTACAGTAGTCAGTTGTGTTGTTATGATTTCGTCCTCGACGTAAAAAAATACATTCTTTGTTGCCCTCTGAAGCCACATGTATGTGTAGTTCGCTAGAACGTTTGTTCTAGTCCAACAGTCTGTTGTTGATCGTCGAATCGACGTGAATTTGTGATGAAAGTTAGCACAGGAAGTGCGCTTTTATTCTCGATTGCAGCATGTGTTTACCGAGTCAAAAATGACTCCTTTCATGCTTGGTTGCCGAACACATTGCGAGGTTCAATTGTGTATCGCCCTGGAATTTATTTGTCAGTACAGCTTGTGTGGGGTAGAGAGAGAGGTGTGGGGGGGGGGGGGTAGGGAGAAGATTGCTGTATAAGCAGAAGTAATTAGTTCAGTCGGCGAACAATTTCATCCGACTTCAAAGAAGAGCGGTTTGTCTGGTTGAAATTCTAGTCGCTGCTCAGTCCTTGGACGAAAAGAGGAAATGGAATTCCCGATGATTATTTCTGCTTGTAATATTGAATGCATGTTATGTTCTACTGTAGTTTTATCTTGAAGGGTTAATACTGAACGTGGATCAACCAAAATTAGGAGACTCTTTTGTGCTAAATGTTTGCTTTTCATTATTAATTTTATGCTTTCTTTATCTGATTTTCTTGAGTTCCTAACACATTTTACTAAACTGGTGACTACCTAAACCTAAGGCAAGTGTCTATGGATGATCAGCTTATTGTCAATGACTAAAGTGCAACTGTACTATTTGCACTAATTCATTGACTACATTTGGTTGCTAAAACTCGTAACGTTATCTGAACTAATCATACAGTTAAATACTTCTGACCTCGAATGTATGAGCTGGGACTAAAACTTCTAACACTATTATTTTTATCTAATCAGACAGTTAAATATTGCTGAACTCGAGGTTAATTGGAATGAAGACTACATGTCTTTGTGAACTGGAATTAGGAGACGGGTTAAGTGGACACACACATTCCGAAAGACACTACAATTCCGTTCTGGACTGGTTCACTGGGTCTGCAGTGTAGCTCTTTGGGAATATGTGTATCCACCTAACCCGTCGTCTACTTCACAGAAACTGTTAGAAGCCTCTAAACGTCTCCTGAACTAGAATTGGTTCACCAAAATTATCATTATTAATACTGCTTACCTTGAATAAGGAAATAGCTAAAGTAAATATTCATTGAACAATCGTTCTATAATGAACATCTGCCTTGAAGAAGGAAGATTTGGTATCTGGGTTACTCGGAGAATAACTCCACGGCGATACAAATATAGCCAATTGCCACATACCTATGGTTGTGCAGCATGCAAACCTGCCCAGCGTCAACGCCTTTGGTTGCGGTATATGTAAATGATGCGACTAGTTTCCGCCAACATAATATTCGCCATGCTTCTTTATAGCTGCGACTTCCTGTGCTAGCTCTGTTGTGTGTGTTGTTTTTAGATGACATGCATTTCTGGATCATTTGAGCCGTCAGATGCGAAAACAGACCTTATGGGAAAAAAATCATATTTGTGTTAGTGATACTATCTGAAAGCCAGGAGCATCAGGAGTCGTATGCAAAAAACTAGAGTTGATTTGGACCAAGGGAAGTAAAGTTATAGCCTCTACAATAGGAGACCGTTTCAAATTGCATCTCAATTTTGGGTGCAATACCAACAATTGTTTCACCTACTTTGTAGAATATTTCCTGTTTCCTTTGACCGATTTCCACAAACTTGGGCTTTCTGGAAAGCTCTGGCGACGAGCAACCCGTTGGGCCCAAATCCGATAGCAAATAAAGCACAGCACCAGCGCAACAAGCTGCAGACAACGCTTCAGCGCTGGACTTGCGCCGTCACACGAAAATCGCTCGCCATTTCCATCTCCATTATCCCAGGACGCCCAATTTTTTTCGTGAAGATACACTGAGAGCTTCCAAGACGTCTGAGCCTGTTGCCGAGATCGTAGGTCGCTTGAAAAGGGGGAAACCCCGGGTCTGGATCGTTTGATTTGCACGTAGAAGTGCAAAGTGCCGTGACGTATCTTGCAGGCTTCGCAGCTGGGGAACGCAGCATCGTGCCGCGATCGGGCTTGCTGCATTGGATTCCTTGGAGTTTTCTCTTCGATTTACATACTTGGATTGTCCCGAAAGACCGATATTTGACTGAAATACGAAGGTTTGTAGCTTGGTTGTCCATGCGCACCAGTGCGTAAACTCGCCAACTTTCAAGTGCATTTTTCTGCACTGTGCAGTGTTTCCCATAAGGTCGGTTTTCGCATCTGACGGCTCATTTATCAGTGTCACGTGCATCTTGTTTTGCTGGCTGAATGCTGGAGGATAGCGCTTACTTGGTATGCCCATAATCCTTATGTTCTGCATTTTCTCTCTTTGTCTCCTCATGACCATGTGGTCATGGGAGGATGTTGCAGGATGCAGGGCTGCAATGCCAGGTTTTCGGCCGTGTTTGCGAGCTGTATGTCACCCACTGTGAGCAGGCATGCAGCTTTGTGGTGTACAGTCAACTTCGCGTATAACGACACTCGGCGGGGCATCAGAAAAGTGTCGTTATTCGCGAAGTGTCCTTATACCCGATGTCTCATTGTATGTATTGCAGTTAGATGGGACTTTGCTCTGGGCATGGAAATTCTGTCGTTATTCGCAAATTGTCGTTATATCCGCAGTCGTTATTAGCAAAGTTGCCTATATAGTTAAACAGTAATGTTGGCTCGGCTGTGGAAGTTATTGCACGAGGAGCTCATCCTGTTGCTGTTCCTCAACAACTATCTCCTCATTATTTCTTGTGTATTTGTGTACTTTTCACTCCAGCTAGTGTCATCATCGGGTGGTGTGCAAACGGCGGACGTGCAAGAATTTCCCGTGGAGTGTCGTTGATTATTGTTACGTCACGTATTCACTTCTGCACCGTTCCTGGGTACC